GCATACATTTCTTGAGAGGTAATTTAAGAAATTTTGATAGAAGAAAATTTCTTTTTAATTTCTTGAACGTCATTTTATTTGAATTTTGCGTTTTTGTTAATGGCCTTATTCTTAAAAAATAAAGTATGTGTTTAGGCCTTAAGCCTAAATATTTCCAAAAGATAATGCACCACCCTAATGTGTCATTCGCATATGTAAATGTACATGCATACTTGTACACATGTATATATATATTATATATTCGCGCCGTTAGTTTAAGTTTCCCCCCGGATAAAGTATCTTTCGTTGAATTTCCCCTCAATGTCTTTTCTTTGTCCGCTGGTTCGAACGAAAATCACGGCTTTAGATGTGTCACTTTTTCATCGGGAGACCAATGAGAAAGAACTGCAGCTACCAGGCCACATTAGTTTCTGGTAAAACCATTGTAAACCAACATATATACACCAATTCAAAATACTTGGACAATTAATAAAACCATTAAACTAAAATGAGTTTTATTTGTCTTTTTTTCCTCATTTTTCAAACCTCATTGTGACCACTTTGCGCACCAAACTTGAGCCGTACTGCGTCACATTGACGTTTTTATTGGTCCTTAGGAGCCGTGAAACCAACATACAGTCCACATTAGAAGAAAAAGCGAACCCAAAAAGTAATTGAGCCACTTCTACGAAAAATTTGGTCACATCAAGCTGCACATAACAGCGATCCTGCTACAGCCACAGCCACACTTATTCGTGCTACGAACCAGCAAAACACTGATAGCATCACCGTCCAACAAGCAGTTTCACCAGCTACTAGGAAACTAAGGTACGTGGTTACAAATTCAAGTGCACTAAAAAAATTACCAGATATAACCTCTAAGTGAATGCAAGCGAGTTGAAGTGATTTGTGAAAAAAAAAACAGTTGAACTTGTGCAAATAACCGCAGTGAATAGTGTCCATCGACATTAACAGTTCGTAATTGCTGCACCGTGCATCACAGTGAACGGTGGCATATATGTAACTTAAATATCAAAGTGCAGCACACATTGCTTTCCGGCTCACTACATATTGCAAAAATTTTTTGGTATTTTGCCACTTGCCACATTCGATTTGCTACTCGAGTTAACAAAGCGCCGGTAAATTTCAATATCAATTTCGTTGTGCTTAAGCAATTTAATTCGTGCAGCACATTTCTTAAATTTGCATTACACTGATTCACTGTATTTGAGGTCACATAACCTCAAATTTTAATTTCCTTCACACTTTTTTTCACAAAAATCACTTCACCACGATGAATTTAGTCCATTTGCGAAATATTTGCTGGTAAACATTGAAATCAAGTCCATTTGGATAAGTTTTGCCGACGTTGCGTTGTGTGTATACTCGAATTTGTGCATACAGATATGTTTATACATATATACATACATATATATATATACCTTCGTCGGCAGTGTTGGGTGGCGAGTAGCACATACACATATATATACATACATATGCTTATCACTTTTCTGAAAAAATAAAAAAGATTATCGATTTTCTGAAAGAGATATCAATTTTAAATCGTAGTGTTTTCTTGACTGCTTCTGGGTTCTGGCTCGTAGAGTTTAAACAATCTACGTTGGTACTCTTATACTCTTTTCGACAATTTGGCAAAAGTTTCGCTTGTGCATTTATACATATACGACAGTTTGGAATATACACGGTCTATTCCTACTTATAGTGAACATACTTCTTTCGAAAACTACAACAAATTTTAATTCGTAAAGAGTAATCAGAAGATCAATTACCGAAATGGAAACCTTTATTCGTTTGGCAGAATCTGTAATCGAATTTGAATCAGATGACAGTGGCACACCAGCCGCAGAGCAAAACAAACACGGCCTTGCAATAAGCAAGACGAACTAAAGGCTTTGTGGGAAAAGACCAAAGTAGCTTATGACGCGATCATAAATAAAGAAGGAATTTCTAAAGATGACATTAAAATAATTAGACGGAAACATAAGGGCTCGTTTTCCAGCTATGTCAAATGCATGTCGGCAATGGCTAGTCAGTCTGAGACGCTTGTAAATGCAGAGAAGGATGTACAAGATCAGTCGGTTCGTGAACACAATATTCACCTCCCTCCGTGTGATACAGATGTGTTCAAGGGCGACTATCTGTCATGGCCATCGTTCCGTGACATGTTTACAGCCATATACATCCTAAACAAGCCTGAATCAGAAGACTCAAGGGGAAGCCAAAGACATAGTAAGAAAATGTCCACTCACCAATGAAGGTTTTCAAACGGCCTGGAATAACCTGTGTGAGAGATATGAAAATAACCGTATCCTCATAAATACGCAACTAAAAATTCTTTTCAACATAATTTCCATAGATAATGAGTGTGGTAGCTGACAGAAGAAGTTACAGCGCGATATAATTAATTGTTTATCAGCGCCCAAGAGCCATAACATTGACATCTCGAATTGGGATGCAATTATTGTATATCTATGCTCAACTAAACTTCCCGACTGTACGCTGGCTCTATGAGAACAAACCATAGATCACAAGAAAGATTTACCAAAGTGGGAAGACATGGACAAGTTCCTATCGAATAGGTTTCAAACCTTGGAAACCATGTCAGGCATAAAGGGCACAAAGTCTGTAAAAGCGTCAAAGCCGCAAAACATCAGACATCCCTCAGAAGCCCCCACAAAAAGACTTGGCGCGTTCCAAACCAGCGTAACCAAGTACACATCTAAAATGTGCCAAACAAATGAGCACAAATTACGCCGCTGTTCCCGTTTCCTAAAGCTAACGCCAACTGAAAGGATCGAGTTTTTAAAGAGCAACAATGCTTGCCTGAATTGTCTGAGTTCTGGACATACTGTATCAAGATGCACAAGCCCTTTCAATTGCGGCACGTGTCACTCGCGACATCATACGCTCCTGCACACCCAGACAATTCCCCCAAAGGCAACACCGCCTCAAACGCCACCGAGCTCTGCCAAAGATGTTGCCTCAACCTCGCAACAAGCTGCAGCAAGGCGTAACTTCAATGAAACTAACTCCGGTAAAAGCAAAAACGTTAAGTCTAATTATGCAAATATGAACTCAGGTGTACTTTTAGGAACGGCTCGTGTAAATATACGTCTCAATGGTACAGATTTTTCAGCACGAGCACTCATTGATTCTGGTTCTGAGTGTTCCTTTATAACAGAACGACTCAAACGCAGAATCAACCTGCCATCTAAGAAGATGTATGCCAAAGTTTCAGGCATCACGAATTCAACTTCTGCTCAGGTCAAGGAGACATGCAACATAGAACTACGGTCCCCTGTTGACTCACTGTTTAGTCTACATGCAACAGTGCTCGTGCTGACAAAATTAACTGGAAATCTTCCATCCTGCCGTATCAGCGCTATGACTATGCAGGCATTTCCAGATCTGATTTTAGCAAATAAAAGGTTCTTCGTTAACGAAGAAGTAGACCTAGTACTTGGTGGAGACATTTATCCCCAAATTATTTTGTGCGGCTTGAAGAAAAATGTTCTCAGTACACTTCTTGCCCAAGAAACCGTGTTCGATTCGATTCTAACCGGTTGCACAGAAGCACCAAATCCAACAAACAACATAGTTTCTTATCATAGCGAAGTTGCCTTGGATAAACAACTAACAGCTTTCTGGGAACTAGAAGATATACCGAAAAACAAAAATTTAAACGAAGACGACAAGTATTGTGAAGAGCTTTATCGGAAAACGACTGAGAGAAACCCAGATGGAAAATATGCAGGAATTTCCAGCAAACATTTGCCTAGACCCCTCTCTTAAAAAAGCATGCTCTCAGTTCTTCCGGAATGAGACACGGCTTAGAAAGGATCCCGTCCTGCAAAAATAGTATAATAGGATACTAACAGAATATGAATCACTGGGACACATGTCCAGAATAAATGCTAGCATTTCAGCAGACTCTTCCGATAACTACTTTCTACCCCATCACGCTGTGATAAAGGCGGAAAGCACCTCTACAAAAGTTCGGGTCGTCTTTAATGCCTCAAGGCAGACGGCTAATGGTACAAGTTTAAATGACGTACTTTACCCAGGTCCAGTACTCCAAGCAGATCTTCCAATATTAATACTCCGCTGGAGATTATATAGGTACGTTTTTAATAGCGACATCGAGAAGATGTACCGCCAAATTTGGGTGAATAACAACCATACCAAATACCAGCGAATAGTTTATCGTACAAACCCGAACGAACCTGTAAGTCTATATGAATTAAAGACTGTCACTTTCGGGATTAATAGCGCACCTTACCTCGCGATAAGGACACTTCTACAATTAGCTGACGATGTAGAGAGTTCTTTCCCAATAGCATCTAACACTCTACGAAAGTGGATGACGTGTTAGCTGGAGGACATAGCGTCGACTCTAACATTAAAGCAAGAGATGAAATCTCAGAAGTGTTACGATCAGCTGGTTTTCCACTACGGAAATGCACCTCAAATTGTCAGGAAATTCTAAAGGACATCCCAAAAACGGACCTTCTTGGCGAAGACTTCTTAGCATTCGAAGACACCAGCACGGTTAAGGCTCTGGGCATAAGATGGAATGCCCATACGGATTTATTTTATTTTATGGCCAGACCATTGGAGGAGCACAACACTATTACGAAAAGGGCGATACTGTCAGCTATCGCCAAGCTTTTCGATCCGCTGGGATGGCTGGCGCCAATAGTCATCGTAGCCAAAATACTCATGCAAAGTATTTGGCTAGAAGGCACAGACTGGGATGACACTGTGTCTGCTACTATTTTAGAACGTTGGCAGCATTTTACAAGACATTACCACGAAATAGATAATATCAGAATATCTCGATGGGTATACTTCTCACCTGGAGACACCATAGAGATACATGGTTTCTGCGACGCATCAGAAAAAGCATATGCGGCTACGGCATATATGCGTGTCAAAAGAGATGACAAAATTTTGGTCAATCTACTTTTGGCAAAAACCAGAGTAGCCCCCGTCAAAACTATATCGCTACCACGACTGGAGTTTTGCGGAGCAGTGCTCCTCGCAGAAATCATAGAATCTATAATCAACAACCTCAACCTAGGACCAGTGAAGACACATCTATGGACGGACTCGACCATCGTACTCGCATGGATATGAAAGCCGTCTTGTTCTTGGTCAACCTTCGTCGCCCACCGAACTACGAAAATCGTAGAAAAAGTAGGGGAGAAGGACTGGCTACACGTAGACTCGGCCTCAAATCCCGCCGATTTGGCTAGCAGAGGACTACCTGCGTCAGAATTGGTCAACAATTCTTTGTGGTGGCAGGGACCTTCTTGGCTGCAAGAAGACAACTCCAAGTGGCCCGCTCAAGGAACAGACTATCATACAGAAGTCGAAGAAAAAAGAGCACACACTTATGCGCCAACAAGAGCGAATGATATCGATATTCTTGCCGTTTTTCCGATCTACCGAGTGCTTTGAGAGTTTTATCATATGTTATGAGATTTTATCGAAGAACTCATTCTAAAACAAAAGCTTCAATTCAGGAAAGTTCTTGTTTAATTTCATCTAATGAAATTAAAACAACGGCACAGATCCTGATAAAAATCTACCAGAAGCATTATTATGGTGAAGAATACGCAAACTTGAAGTCTAAAAAACCAATCGATGCAAAGAGTGAAATCCTTCCGCTTTATCCGTTCATCGATAAACATGACATTATCAGAGCCGGAGGTCGCCTTGGAGCATCCCAGGACTTAGCATACAACGAACGCCACCCAAGCATTATTCCGTATAACAGCAGGTTGTCCCGCCTTATTGTATCGTTTATTCACAAGGTCTCCTTGCATGGAGAGAATCAACTGATGCTACGCCTCATCCGTACCCAATACTGGATTCCCAAAGTCAAGAACTTAATCAGGTCCACTATCCATAATTGTAAGACATGTATTATCTTTAAAAAACGGTCACAAACTCAACTTATGGGAACTCTTCCTCCGGAACGCACTACATTTACTCGCGCTTTCACAAATACGGGGGTAGACTTTACTGGACCTTTTGATGTTAAAAGTTACCGCGGCAGAGGTTGTCGAGTTTCTAAAGGGTATGTCTGTTTATTTATTTGTTTCACGACTAAAGCGATTCACTTAGAAGCTACTAGTGATCTTAGTACCCCATCTTTTCTAGCGGCATTTGCACGGTTCGTGGCTAGAAGAGGATGTCCGAGAAATATCTACTCCGACAACGGCACTAACTTTGTCGGAGCCTCACGATCCTTACGATCTGAGTTTATAGCTTTTCTGTCTGAAACTCGAGATAAAACTATCTCGAAATACGATCATCAAATGCTGACGTGGCATTTTATACCCCCTGCAGCGCCTCACATGGGAGGACTGTGGGAAGCGGGCGTAAAGAGCTTCAAAAGCCACTTTAGAAAAATTGAGTCCGCCCACAAATACACCTTTAAAGAGCTTAGTACTATTTTATGCCGTATTGAGGCGTGCCTCAATTCACGGCCTCTGAGTCCCTCTTCAAATAACCCTACTGACCTGGAGCCGCTTACTCCAGGCCATTTTCTCATTGGTGGACATCTTCTAGCCCCACCAGAATTAGACGTTAATGAAACTCCTGCCTCCATAGTGAATCGGTGGCAAAAACTCAAAGCACTAAATCAAACTTTCTGTAGGCGATGGAAAACAGAGTACCTAACCGAACTTCAAAAATGCATTAAGTGGAAACATCCCAAGGAAAATATCAAACCTGGTGATCTGGTCGTCATCAAGGAAGACAACTTAACCACCACTGAATGGAGGTTAGGACGAGTTGTCAACGTACACCCTGGTGCCGACAGCAGAGTACGAGTACTGGACATCTTGACGGAGAAAGGTCAAGTCACAAGACCACTGGTGAAGTTGGTTTTACTCCCGCCATACAACGATGGAAACTCGGAGCCCGCAACCACCTCGTAAACCAATTTTCATCATTATATCCCACTTCCTTTTTCCACGCGATTCCACTTCCTTATATTAGGAGGGATCCCACGACTAAGAGAGTTCTTGTTTTTCGTTTATTTTCTTCTAATAATTAAGAAAAAAATTCGGTGATGGTTCTGACCCGGATTTCCCCGAGTTGATCTGGTTACAAATAAACGACCGTCAACAGATCTTAACCCAAAATACCCATAAATTGCAGAGCAGATAACTGCTTCATATAAAAAATGAATCACAAACAGTGAAAACCTAGCAAGTTCCGTGAAAATATATTCAAAATGCAAACTTTTCTTTAACTTGCTGGAATGATAATTATAATTTTAAAACTCACAGATTTCTGCTTCCGTTCTAATTTTTGTTGCCAGAGTCGTCAGGCTGCTTCTCATTGTAGTCGTTTCAGCCGCATGGTTTCTTTATTCGCGCACCCCTTAATAAAATACAAATGAATTAGTTTCAAACTGTTGGATATAAAAATAAAAAATATAAAAAATGGGAGAATTAGTATATTGTTACCAAAGCAAAGGAGCTTCTATCAAACCGATCTCACGAACCACTATGATGGCCTTGCTGCTAGAAAGTATCAGGATTGAAAGGTGCTTATAATAGCGACACAAATCCAATCATTGTTTCCTTTCCCCATTAATTCCACACTACAGGAGGTGCTGGGCTTGTTCAATTGGCAATCACCAACGCAGTACTGCGTGCATAACCACAGCATCACGCTCGATGTGAATTTCTACCAGCGTTGTACCAGTTAAGCTGTCGCAGCGTTCGTGCAAATTTTCGGCAGCGTTACCGTGGTACCGCTTTACTATGTTCTTCGAAAGGCCACACAAACTTATGCATATATATATACCTTTGTATATAAACAAAACCAAAAGAAACTTGAGCTCTAGATACCCGGGTATCGAGCAATGCGAGTAGCTCGATACTCGCTCGAAACTCGTTCATTGCTCAACTGCTCAAATGTTTGTTCAAAATTTTCGAGTTTTTGAACGATTTCATAAACAAAAGAAAATTTGTAAATTGTATTTGTCAGCAGCTGCTTTCTAAAGCAGAATATACACAAGCAGACTTGTCTGTACTACATGTCAAGTATGACATACCGTCGCATCGTGTATAGGCGGGTGTGCACACCAAATTCTAGGTCTGCATACATGTATGAAGAAAATTGAAATTTTCCAATTTTTCTGCTCGTTGGTGCGACAGGTATGAACGTTTATAGTAAACAATGCAGACAGAACCTCATACTTGAATAGATTTTTATGCGGAAGTTTGTGTGAGCACCGTGGCTATAATTGATAACGAGTTTTGGCGTGATTTTATTGAAGCCTTTAGGGGGGAAAAAGTGTTATGGGAGATAAAACACGACAATTACAAAAATAAATTAAAGGTTGTCCAAAGTTGGGAAATACTTTTACAAAAATATAAGGAATTAGATCCACATGCCACGATTGACATCGTAAAAAAACGCATTAATGGCATGCGGAACTGCTATAGACGGGAACTTTCAAAAATAAAAAAATCGACGAGGTGTGGTGCTGGCGGAGATGACATCTACAAACTAACGCTTTGGTATTTTTACCAATTAGACTTTTTACGTGACCAGGAAACGCAAACACCGGTTATTAGTACATTGGAGGAGAATGATTTTGATAATGAGGTGTGTAATATTTAATCGAGTAAACAAACACATAGATTATGGTAATAATAAGTATAGAAGGTTAACAATGGAGATATAGACAAAGACAACGACGCAGTTAAAGGCAACGTAAAACAGAAGATTTAAGATTTCAGATGAGGATGTAAAGGAAGAGGAAGAAGAAAATGGACGCACATTTAGGTTTTTATTTAGAACTGGCCAATACCAATAAGCTATTTACGTGACATATTTTAAGCAAATCGGATTTTTTAAATAGGTCAGTCCACGGCCCAGCTACTGGAAAACCGTACCCTAAATGTTAATCCAAACCGTTCAGCCATTTCTGCGTAATTCAGTAACAACTAATCAAAGACAAATTTTTCCGATTGATTAAATAACTACTATATATTTATTATTATAGTTATTAGATATTATAAAATTTTACTCTGCCATGGGACTGATCCAACTGTGTTAAAATAATGTTTGTATTTATTGCGAACGCTTTTCGCTACATTTGTTGCATTTCCCCCTTGAAGAGGTCTTAGGTTTGTAAGTTCACAAGCACTTTGCCGAGGAGCGTATTGTATTTCACTTGGGGTAACATTTTCAACATCGACGCCGTCATTCATATGTTGCAGCCTATTTTTCCGTGTTAAAAAATTATGGATATAACAACAGGCCAAAACTATTTTCGATACTTTATGAGGGCTTAAGTTCATTCTGTTTGCCAGAATACGAAAGCGGCTGCATAAAATGCCAAACGCATTTTCCACTACCCGTCTAGCTCTCGATAATCTGTAATTGAAAATAGTTTCCTCGGCGCTTAGTTGGGTACGACTAAATGGCTTTATTAGATTCTCCATAAGTGGGAATGCATCATCTCCTATAAAAACAAATGGAAATTCCTCCTCACTCATAGGTACACTTGCTGGTTGGGGAATAAACAGTTCATTGTCGTCATATTTTTGCTTAAATTTGCTTTGGCCGAATATTCCTGCATCAGACGCTCTTCCGTTTGCACCAACTTCAACGGATATGAACTCATAATTTGCATTAACAATTGCCATCAAAACAATGGAGTAAAATTTTTTGTAGTTGTAATAATATGAGCCCGTTCGTGGAATTAAACTAATTTTAGTCTTCTCTTTATTTTTAGGTTGAATCTCAAAGAACTCGAAAGCGTAAAAAGTCTGACAATAACTCAGAGTTTCTCGAAAAGGCCATACAGCATCTGGATCAAGCCAAGAACTCAAATAGGGAACGCGATGATGCTGACGTGTTTGCTGAATCTTGGGCAATTTTATTTAGAAAATTGTCAGCGGAGCAGCAAATATACGCAAAACGAGGTATTGAAGAGATCCTAGTACATGGACAGTTGGGAAACCTTCATATGAATTCTGTACAAATAACCGTCTCTCAAAGAAATCCAAGGACCTATACAATATCCCGCGCCTCGACTCCATGTTCATCGTCGTCTATTCCCGACCCTTTTCCTACAGTTTACACACAAGCACCGCAATTACTTATTTCAAGGCGCACTATGCCACGAAATGAATACTCGCAGTCCGGGTTTGCAGAATCACCAGAATTTATTCACTCAAATAATTCTGGGTCAGCGCAATCTTTTGATGAACTATTTTCGGACGCTCAATACCAGTGACTTTTCATTATTTTAATTTTAATTGTTATTAATTTTATAATTAAATAAACGTTTATTAATAAACTAGCTTATTGCCGCAGGGTTTCACCCCACGTTATACAAACAGTTCTTTTGTGTTCTTCACAGTACATTTTGTATGTGCCGAAGCTGGTTCATTGGCCTTATAAAACCATAATGAAGCAAATTTTTCAATATGTAGGGTCATCGTCTGGGGGAACGTACTAGACAACAAGGCCCTCAGGGTTAAGCAGCTGGAATCTGCATGGCCGGTTAGCTGGCAAGACAGGGAACCCTTGAGGAAGTGGTGGGTGCTCCCCTGACTTCTTGTGGTCTATTTGTGGCTAGATTACCTGAATGTATTCGTCCAATGTTTTTATTATGGCTTCACAAGTTTCTAATACAATACGACTTAAACTGTGTGAAGATATTGCTGTTAAAAATTTGAAATCTTCGAAGCTTTCGTCGGATGACAAAAATCTAAGAGTAGCCGAAAGCCGTTCATGGGGCGTAATTGCATCTCTCATGAAAGTATCTCTTTTTTTATTAAAGGCTCCACCATCAACAGGAGTTCTTGATAGTTTGCATTGTTCATGCGAACAAAATTTTTAAATTTTTTGATAGATTTTGTTTCCAATTCCTTAAGGAGTGGTACGTGTGAATATTTTGCGCGTGTTTTTATAAAAGTTTTCGCACCAAAAGCGTTGTTTTCGCCTTTTTTCCTTCTTTTTCTTATCATTTTCAGCGCACACAGAAATTACAAGCAGGGCTATAATTTGATTTTTTGATGCCATGAGGTTCACTCACTTCAACGATTTCAACGAAATGATGTTTGAACAACATAGGTGTATACTGAACTGGCATGCGACCAAGTATGCATACAAGTCTGATTGTGTATATTCTGCTTAATCCAGGTTAAATAAATTATATTATTAAATACCAATGTAACAATCTTTGCATTATATATCAATAATTTGAAAAATTTAAAAAGTTGCTACCAAAAATGTCAATATAATAAAAAAACATTGCTCAAATTACTCGAGCTCATGCTCGAAAATTTTCGAGTAATGAGCATTGAACAAGTGTGCGAGTCCTCGCTGCACATATACCCGGGCTGTTTGAAAATGTGCGAACAAAATCGAGAGCTCTAAAAGAAACCACAAACATGTCTATCAGGTTGTATATCTACCTATTAACGCAAACAGAAATGGGGTGTATATGAGATACTACAATAAATGCTGTAAATACTTAGTTTAGTTTGTCCAATCACACAGTTCAGTTTCGCAATAGCACTTCACCCTTTCATGACGGCGTTGACGCTGTAGTTCCACGGGTTTGCGTGTCATCGTTTTACTAGATTTGCGTTCATGCAGCGTTGACTGGGTAGCACTGTGCCAAGTCAATAGTAAAAAAAGCGAATCGGCCAATAAAGACCAGATGTAACTGAACGCAGCAAGTGCATCGATATGTGGGCATGTAGAAGCCTTTACTTTCAGTGGAGGCCTTGACACAATTCGCCTGCTAATTGTCATAATAATCGTACTACTACGCTTCGCTTTAATACGAATATATTTGCAATCGTATCAAAAGTTAGCTTGTGATAAAATCATGGACATACGCAAAGAAGCCGGTCGCATTACGAATGCGGAATATCAGAAAGATTTCCACGTGGTCATCTTGCAATTCGCCGCACCACTCTTGCTTTGCTTGTAGGTTAAGTTGATGTATAAAAGTTTAGGCGAATATACTTGCTCTGAGATATTGCGCATATTGAATTAGTGAGTTCTAATTGCATTTCCGTCTGTCATACATGCAGAGTAGCTATTAATATAGCATAATACTGCATAATAGCGAGGTTAGGGGCGTTACGCCAAGTGTAGCTCAAAGGTGCATATATGTAGGCAATAGTGCTTTGGCCACTTTCGGGTTTCTTTGGGGTTCTGGTACTCCAGCCGAGTCCCGATATGGTCACCAAATGCCAGCGCCCGAGGACAGATGTAGGCTTATGTATTTTTATCTGAAAAGGAAAACTTATATTAATTAGAATTCATATTAACTAAAATTTTTTACACTTTCTTACCTGGTTGCGTGCGTAGAACCTCATGCATTAAGAAAATTCCAATGGTGTAAATGAATTCTTTTCATTGATATGTATCCATACCAGGGTTCGGACTACTCAAACAACGGGAGTAAAAAACAAACTTTCGTAGTAGTAGATTTTCATGCTTCATCTTTTTTACGCAGTCATGATGACGCAAAAATTGGAGTATTTCATAAGAGGATCTAGTAGCAATCTTTTACGTAAACCGAAAATAGATAATTGAAATTTTGGTTCAGTTTGTACATGAAGTCGGAATAGTTAAACAAGTTCATTTACGTTATATTGTCTAACTTCATTAAAATCCTCCTCATCCGAACTTAGTTTTTTGACTCAAATTAGAATTTTATTTCTGGAGTAAAAAGCTAACAAAACGGACTAAAGTAGTAGATCGCCAACCTTTTTCAACTCTTACCAAACCCATTTCGGAACTGAGTTGAGTCCGAATACTGGCTTAAACGTTCACTTATTCATACGTTCCATATTGAAAAAAGGAAAAAAACCAGCTGGTGGATATACCATCGCACCATTTGGTCATTCATTGTTAAAGCGCCAGCTAGTATAAAATAATACTCACCCATAAAGCAAAATGCATTGTCATGTTGAGACATTAGTGCATTATATATTTCACATATTTTAAGGAAAAAGTCAAAGGAAAATGTGATAGTTTATTGTCACATGCCAGCTTAAATTAATCAATTCTGCTGCATCCGTGCTACCCTGCATGTGTGGCCGGAAATCACATCCAGTGACGCTACAACTGTCTCTCTTCTTGCTGGCAGGGAAGTTGTAGGGTGTCGAGAAGAACAAATCTTCAACAATCGTCGATTAATAATCTACACGGGTTCAATAAATTAATTGAATTACTATTCGATTAATATCAGTAAAGTTAGTAGATTTTTCATTTTTTTTAAATTGGCAATTTTTTAATCTAATAAATGCAAACTTGCTGTTTTTAAGTATAAATAAAACTTACCTATGTCCATGCATTCCTTCTCAATGGAATGCATGGCATTTGTGCGATCCACTTTTCATTATTTTGTGGGTCGCTTGGCGTAACGCCCCTTATACATAATTTACACGAGCCAGTTTGCGCCGTACGAATCATAAACCCCATTTACACAAACCAAACTGTTGATATGCATTAGCGAAATAGTTATGCCCCTAATTTAATTAGCCAAGGTCGATACACTCGCCACCCAACAACCCATATCAAGCGTAAAAATCGAACCAACGAACAGTATCGACACAATTTCAGATGGAACGATGTCTCAATTTGCCGCAATGAGGAAAAGGGCCGAACAGCGCACCCTTCGCTATCCGCAACCATGCCGCCTATGCGACGCAAATCATCCGATAAGGCTTTGCCCTTTATATCGTGCGAAATCGCCAGAGGAAAGATTGCGTGAGGCCTTACTAGGACGCTACTGCGCTAATTGCCTCGCGATGAATCACGAATTAAAAGACTGCGTGAGCGAAGGCAGATGTAAACGATGTGGCGAAAAGCACCACTCGACACTACATTTCTAGGATGAACCCAGCATATCGAAAAAGTCATGGGCCCAACAGGAGGAGGAGGAAGAAAAAAATTCCGATGGTGTGATCTCGCTACTTGCGTCCGATTCTGGAACGGAAACGCGGCCTTTCCGTCCAGATACCGAAAAAGGTGCACTTTCAGGCGATGCAGCGGAGACTCGGCCTCTCCGCGCATTCGCAGAATGGGGATCGGAAACTAGGCCTTTCCGACCCCTGTCGCAGCAAGGGTGGAACCGGTTACGTGGAGCGGAAACCAGGCCTTTCCGCCTGCGTAATCTCAAACGCAAGGATAAAGTATCTTTCGTTGAATTTCCCCTCAACGTCTTTTCTTTGTCCGGCGGTTCGAACGAAAATCACGGCTTTAGATTTGGCACTTTTTCATCCGGAGACCAAGGAGAAAGAACTGCAGCTACCAGGCCACATTAGTTTCAGGTAAAACCATTGTAAACCAACATATATACATCAATTCAAAATACTTGGACAATTAATAAAACGAGTTTAATTGGTCTTTTTTTCCTCATTTTTCAAACCTCATTGTGACCACTTTGCGCACCAAACTTGAGCCGCACTGCGTCACATTGACTTTTTTAGTATGTTTAAAGCACGGTAGAAAAAAGAAGGTAGTTTCACTTAATGACATTGGCAGCCATGTTAGCCATTTGACTTTTGCTGGGATTTTGTCGTTTTCATCAAAATCTAGCTACCAGATTGAAAATTATAATATAATTTTTTTCTGAAATAAACTATACATAGCAAAAAACAAAATAATTTTGTAAAATAATAAAAAGAAAAATGAGTTACTCATTTGGAAGCTGCAAAAATACAAAATACCACTTCCAGGAAGACGGTACAAATGTTTTTAAATTTCCAGCGCTTCCTTTTGTGAATTCGATATTTAAATCTAAAGTTAAAGGACAACAAAACTAATACGTAAATAATAAGAATAGAAAAATTACATCTTGATGGCTTTGTTGAATTTATTAAATAAAATCGTTTAATAATGTTAACGCAACATATATACACATAGATTAATTTCCAGTTTGGGGTTGGGGTGAGAAATACCATCCTACTTACGTATACCATTGTCCATTGTATTTCGAAGTTAAATTGCATTATATTTATGT